TTATATATATATATATATATATATATATATATATATATATATATATATATATATATATATCAGCACACATGAAACTTTTATATCGACTTTTTATATCGCATTAGATATCTTGCCTATAATTCTAAGAACTCAATGTTCTTTCTTCATATAATCTTTTAGTTTAGCAATATCAATTTTGTAGATACAGATTACACAATTTTTATATGAAGCAAATATTAAACATTATTTAACAGTTCTGAACATATTATACCCAGATAGCAAAATGTTTCACATTTGCTGTCATACAGCCGAAAGTCGTTGCAACAACTAATTTAAACAGACTCGGGACAAGATGAGACAGCATTATGTCTATCGCATTGGACTCAATGGAATAATTTTACTAATGACAAATCGATGACAATATGTCAGCATCAATCTACTATTCACAACTTAACGGCAACTCGTATTGTCAACTTGTATCTGCAATTACCAACATGTGAAAGATATTTATTAGATTCGGAAAAATAAACGGAGACCGACTGAATTTGAACTCGGGATCCTTCGTTTATTACCAAGACACTTATGCCCGTTTCCTCCAACGTGGTTCAAAATTTGAATTTAAACTCCGATCAATGACATTTTGCGTTCCACCAAGTTTTTTTTGTACAAGTTCAAGTCAGTTAAACGACGTTCATTCTGAACGCCCATTTTTCACAAATTTGAACAGCGTTTAAGCAGAAGACAACATAAAACGTATATCAGTATTTGAGAGTATATTCAATATATTATTTTATTAAATAAACTATATTCATCGTTGAATAATTAAAAGCTAATACAGTAAATAAATAAAGTAACATTTATGACAAAATTAATTTATTATTTATTTATGACAAATAAATAAAACTTCCTTTTGATAATTTTTCTATCGTAAAATGAATAAAAATTAAAACTTTTGAATTATATATAAGGCTATGAGTACAACAGTAGTTTATAATAAATGCAAGTAATAATAGTTTATAATAAATGTAAATAATCCTGATTTTATCTTTGATTATTCAAAAATATACCTATAATAATAGAAAAATTAAAATAAACACATTTTTTGAAAATAAAAATAACTGTAAATAAAATTAAATTTTGCTTTAACTTATGAAAATAATAAAAATTTAAAAACTTTTTATCTATAAAAAAGTTTTATATATATATATGTGTGTGTGTGTGTGTGTGTGTGTGTGTGTGTGTGTGTGTGTGTGTGTGTGTGTGTGTGTGTGTGTGTGTGTGTGTGTGTAT